GTGGCTGGTCAGTGGTAGAGTCTCTGCCTGCGGATCCAAGGGTCCAGGGTTCGAACCCCACCGTGGACCGAGATTTATTCATTTAATTTAATTATTTAAAATATATCTGATGCCTTGGTAGGATTCCCCACTCGACCATTCACTGTTGGATTTTAATTAACAGCAGTGCTGTTCCTAAAGTGACGCTGGGAAACAGTAACAAAGCCTACACATAACACATAACCATAGTAGTTGAAGCTGATGACACACACACAAAAATAATAATAATAAAAAGGATGTAGGCGGAAACATCAGGGATATAAAGAACAACTGCCTATAGATACTGTCACTCTAAAGCAGGCACAAAAGGAACATCGAAATATATATACTGCTTTTGTAGATTACAAAAAGGCCTTCGACTGTGTCCCACACTCTTGGCTAATTGAAGCCTTAAAGATCTACAAAATACACCCTACTATAGTGAATTGTCTTGCAACAACAATGAAGCAATGGAGGACAAATCTACATCTAAGTATTAATGGTAACTCGCCGTGAATCCCTTATCAACCATGCTTAAGGACACTGACTATGGCTTCAAAATCAAAGGCAATAGAAACACCAGTTGTAATATCTCCCACCTCTTGTACATGGATGATATTAAATTATACGCTTCAAGTCAACAAAAAATGAAACATTTACTAGCTATAACTGAAAGATTCTCAAGCGATATTCAAATGGAATTTGGGTTAAACAAATGCAAGTGCTTAAGCATCGAGAAAGGGGTCGTTATGAGTGGAGATGTGGTATTACCTAATGGTGATATCATAGAAGCCATGGAGAAAGGCAAGACTTACAAGTACTTAGGATATCAGCAAGCCAGGCTACTAGATCATAAACAGGCAAAGGAAAGGATTAGAAGTCAATTTACTCAAAGAGTAAAAGCCTTAATTAAAAGCAAATTAAATACAGGCAATCAACTCATATGCTATACCGGTCTTAACCTGTTCATCTGGAATACTACATTGGAGCAAAACTGAATTGGAAGAAATTCAGAGGTTGATGCGAACGATGATGACTAAAAACCACTCTTACCATCCAAGATCATCTGTAATTCGCACCACTTTACCCAGGAAGGAAGGTGGAAGAGCCTTAATCGATCTCTTTAAACAATGTACAACAAAAAAGTTATCTTCAATTTTTCCCAGGTACTTGTTTGACATTTTACTAGTCGCCAATTGTTTATTTATTTGTATGTCAGACATTAAAATGAATAACTTTACTAACGCTAAAATGGCTCAAATGCACTTCCATTACGTCTTGGCAAATAGGAATTCAGTGGAAGCTAGAAGAATTTATCAGCAACGTTATCCGAATAGGGTAACGCCATGTGCTAAAACATTTAGAAAGATACATGTCAGATTGAGTGAAACCGGTAGTTTTGAGCATAATCGGGTAGTTCCTGGTAGACCACGAACAGTAACAACGCCTGAGCTAGAAGAAGCTATACTACAGGAGATAGAAGAAAATCCTTTAACTAGTACCAAGAAGATTGCACAACAGCTTCAAGTAAGTGCAAATATTGTTTGGAGAGTTTTGAAAGTTTCTCTGCTTTACACATACCATATACAACGAGTACACGCTCTGCTGCCTCGCAACTTTCAGCCAAGGCTAAATTTTAGTAGGTGGTTACTCCATAAATAAAGTTGCTCATATCTACAATTTTTTGACCCTAATTTTATTTACTGATGAGGCAACTTTTTCGCAAGAAGCAATTATTAATTTTCATAATGAACAATTAGGGGCTGAGGAGAATCCTCATGTAATAAGAGAAGGTTGCTTTCAGCAAACATTTTCACTAAATGTATGGATAGGGATTATTGATGACCATCATATTGGACCATACTTTTTACCCCCTCGACTGAATGGTGATTCGTATACTCAGTTTTTACGCGAATAACTAAATAGTCTGTTAGAAGAAGTGCCTCTGCAAGTAAAAGGAGATTTATGGTTTATGCACGATGGTGCACCAGCCCATTTTAGCCTTCTTGCTCGCCAATACCTCGACAACACTTTTCCTAATCGCTGGATTGGACGCGGAGGTCCTCAAGCTTGGCCACCTCGCACTCCCGATATTAATCCCTTGGACTTTTATTTATAGGGTCACCTTAAATCACTCGTGTATGAGACACCTGTATTAAATGAAAATGATTTAAGAAATCGAATAATTCAAGGTTGTAATACCATAGGAAATACTCCAGGAGTTTTTGAAAAAGTAAGACAATCAATGAGGAGACGATTGGAATCGAGCGTTTTATCAGAAGGTGGCCATTTTCAACATTTGCTTTGATTCTTTGTGTGTGATTATTTATATGATTGTTATTTGTAGTTAAGTAATAAAAAAAATAAAAATGGCTCTGTAATTATTCATGAAAAAAGTCAAGGGACCTTTTTTCTTCCAAAACGAACAATCAAAAATCTAAATATTGAAAAATAACAGCGGCGTAACACGTTTTTCCTTCCATATTTTTCAGCTATTACCTTGTTCGCACGCCACTGGTTAAACGAAAGCCACTGTGTTTACAGTAAAACACGCAACATTGCTAACTCTCAAAAGCTGCAAAAATTTAATTAAAATAATAAAAAAGAATTAAAAAATTTATTGTCTGTGTTGCTTTTTCTTCCAAATCGAACATTAAAAACAGAACAGTGGCGTAACACGTTTTTCCTTCCATATTTTTAAGCGATTAAGTTTGATTAAAATATCTTGGTTTTGGAAATTATTAAAAAATTGTATTTTTTTTTATGAAACTTTCACACCCTGTATTTCCGTAAATAAGCATTTTTGAGACATAGTGTATATGACAAAAATATCTTTATTTTAGCTCCAGAATACGCTCCTGAAGTTATGTACTGTACTTATCGAACAACCTGGATATAAGGGGGTGGGTGGCTCAGTGGTAGTCTCTGCCGTTAGCCGGAATTTTTTCATTTCATTTAATTATTTAAAATTAATTCTGATGCGTTGGTAGGATTCCCCACTCGACCATTCACTGTTGAGTTCTAATTAACAGTGCTGTTCCTAAAGTGGCGCTGGGAAACAGTAACAAAGTCTACACAGAACACGAGGCGAAATAACCTTAGTAGTTGAAGCCGATGACACAAAAAAAATAATATTACAACCTACTAATAGTGTTGTTTTGGTCCTTATTTTCCAGTCTAAATCAGCATAAAATAATTAAAACAATACACGACAAATCAACCCCCTTTAAAAAAACTAAAAAGGAATAGGAAGTCGTTGAGAATAAATAATTAATAATGATGTTCTGTTTGTTAATAAAATGATGTATATACAACTAACAAAACAAGAAAGTAATCTTGGTTGCCTAGATGTCAGTAATGCTTTACCGAAACACAATTTTATAAATAATCTAGTCATAATTAGAAAAAATATTGTATTAGTTGTGGGTCAAAAAATTAGTAAACCTGAGATATTTGAATTTTTAATTGAAGTACCTTTAATTATTTAAAAATGGAAAAACGTTTCCGTGATCAATCTAAATACTACTAAGCTGATGGGAAGACTTTTATTGAAGTAGCAGAATCACTGGAAATTTCGAAAATATCAATTTACTGTTTAAGAAAAAAAAAAACAAAAAAAAATAATTTCATAGGTTCAAATGCAGGTAAATTAATTGAGATCAAGATTTTTGATAGTTAATAAATCATTGATGATGAGACGTGAGTTTATTTTGATGCTATAAATTGATTAAACAATTTTGGCCCAAAAAATATCAAAGCACTAAGTAAAAAAGGCTACTGTTAAGGCTTTTTCACCAGCCTTTTTAACAGAAAATTTTTTGATCAAGGAATATAATTTTTAATTTCGTTTCATAAATTTTCTTTAAAAATATATCAAAATAGACTATTATTATCTACAATGTAATCTTGCATCGTAAATTTACTTTAGTTATAAAAATACTATAATATAAAAACAAAGCACATATTTAAAAAACTTTTAACTCCAGAAACATCAATATTATTTTATCTAGAAAGTGTATACGCGAGACACATTTTCTATATACTGGATTTGTTGCGAATTTGAAATATCAATGGAAATATAAAGTTCTGTAGCGTCTTATAAAAATCAAAAACAAAAGAAAGCAGCCCGTTTCCATGTAAATATCCAACTTTGTAAATTTTAATAACAGAATGATCAAAATTGTGAATACATACCATACAGTTTGTATTTCTTAAAAATAAACACAATGTAACAAGATGTAAATATTTTGACACTAAATACTTTGGATTAAACTCAAAAATATTCTCGTACCTCTAAGATTAATGTGTTATCCGTGTACACAAATTTTATTCACTGAGGTTTCATTGCGTTAATAATGTCTGCTATATACATAAAAGGGCGCAATTATGAGGTCAATTTGAATTTGACCTTTCATATTTGAAGATTAATTAAAATCGACCTGGTCAATCATAACTGGGAATATTTTCTTCACTGAATCGATATGAGGATAATGACATTATGCGAATGTAGTGCCAATTAAATATTTTTTTCTATTGTGGATACATTAAATACAATGCTCGTCTTATAAAGTGGGTAATTTAAATAAATAAAACATGTAAAAATTGATGTGTTCAACATATAACTTTTTAGTAAAGTTTTTCAATAAATGTTTCATAACGGGCCATCTAGTCAAAAAGTATTTAGCATATGAATTAAAGTTAAACATCTTCATTGAAATTTATAATAAATAAAGAATTAAATTTTAAACTTTTCGATAGATTTCTCCATGACTAGAAACTCCTCTATACTCCATAGATGCTCCGACTATGTCCAAAATCTGATAATCTCATCGCAGGTTAGATTTAAGTCTTGGTTATATATCTATGGATTTAAGCTAGTTTAAAAATTTGGTGCATCACTGAACATGCTAAGGTACCGTCTATTTTTCGAATAAAATTTTATTTAATATATTAACATTTTAAAATTACAATTTTTTTTGACAGGTCGTTCCACATACCTCACGTTAAAGGAAAGCCATCTGGTGAATATTAACATATTACCTCTCATTACTGAGTAAAGTTAAACTATGCCTACTCAAAAGTAGTTAAACTATCAACTACCTGAAGTTAATAGTTAAAACTTCAACTCTTTTTTATATATAATTAGTTTTTTTGATTAAAGAAGAAAAACAAATTGAGATTTTATTAAAAAAACAATAATAAAAATACAAAAAGCATTTTTAATAACAACAAAAAGCATTTTTATGCAATAGAAAAGTAAAAATTCTTCAGAAAATAATATAATTTACCAGGAAGATGGCTAGGAAATTCTTTAATAAGGCAAGAACCACAAAACTCAAAGAGGACTGGGATATTTACAAATCTCATAGAGAATACAAAAAAATCGTCAGAAAAAAACAGAGAGATGCATGGAGATCCTACTGCGAAGAAATCGAAGATTTCCCCCGGGCAGCGACGCTTCAAAAAGCTCTCTCAAAAGATCCACACCGAAGCATTGGTGCGCTAATCAAAGAGGATGGCACGAAAAGTGCCAACCTCGAAGATAGCATCAAACTTCTGCTGTCAATAAACTTCCATGACTCGGTCATCACACTTCCCTGACTCGATACAGGGCACAGGAAGAATACAATCCATCTGTCTGACGGTATCTATCCAGCCCTACTTCAGTGGGGTTTGAAAGAACGCACACCGCACCTAGTGGGTATATTCAGATCCTCATTGGCTCTGAGGTATATCCACAAAAAATGGAGAGAGGTAAAAGTGGTATTTATACCCAGATCTGGAAGGATGGATTACACACTATCCCACCGACCAATTAGTCTGACATCGTTTTCCATGAAGATATTAGAAAGGCTATGCGAAAGGTACATAAGGGATACGGTGATTACAATACCACTACACCCAAACCAACATGCATACACCCCAGACAGATCTACTGATTCAGCCCTTCATCTAGTTGCTGGCTGGATAGAAAGATCCCTGGACAATAAGGAGTCCGCCTTGGGTGTTTTCATAGACATAGAAGGTGCTTTTGATTAAACTACCTTCCCAAAAATAATACACTCACTAACCAACAGGAATGGGCCATAAATGATTAGTGGGTGGATACGTAACATGCTCTCAAAGAGTTGGGTAATTAAAACACCTTTCAAATGATGTATCGAATGAACCATTTTTGTATTTAAAAAATCATCTACGACACCAGCCTCACATAGATAACGCTAAGAATAAAAGGATTATCTGATAGAATACGCGTTTAAAAATAAAAATCAACTTTTTCCAGATGCCATAGAGTTACGAAATAATGAATAATATATACTGTATGTACATAGTAATTATTATCAGTTTAAAAATCCAAACGTGTTTAAGAACGGAAAAATATGGGAAACAAGTCATTCTTGTAATAAATGAATAACGAAATACAAATTATACGAATGAGTATCGATGGCAAAGGAATTTTAAAATCAGTAGGAAACTACCATAATTAGAAGTACTTAAATCAATTAATAATGATAAAAAAACATTTAGATACTTTTATCAGCGAGAAAACGATATTTTTAAAAACGCTTCGTGGTTTCTACGTTTCATGTTTGGAAACCAAGTCTGGAGAATTGTACTCTTTAGTAGTTCAGTCTATTTCTAAATAGTCACTAAATGACATAAGCTACACAGAAATTAGTGTTCATAATCGTATAATCGTTGTGACTGCTGATATAGTAAACAGATTACTAGCCCTAGAGAGACCATGTATTACATCCGGTCTAGTATCAGATCTAATAGAGGCCTCAAATAACAAGGTCTTACTATCTTACTAAGGTGACTCAATGGCCACAATAAGGCAAAAGTCATTTGCATTAATGATTTTTGCTTGGCAAGAAGGCAGCTGGACCTATTAGGGTTCGGTAAAGCTACGTTTTCCTAGCTGCGTCAAACGCCTGCGGTATACGCAGGGCGATTCACGCAGTGTGCGTTACGTGAACAGTGTTTTCCAACTTGGCGCAAATCAGTTGGAATTAAAACAATCCATTTTACAGTGCCTTAAGTACGTAGCCAAAGTAAGTTTTTTTATAACAAGGGAATTGAAAGGCTGCTTAAGTTATTTATTACTAACCACCAGTTCATCTTCAGCTGCAGAAAATCTTGATTGAGGTTCTTTGCCAGCCACATTTGTTAAATTTGTTAAATTCTTTATGACTGCTAATGCTAGTATTGTCCTGATAGTTACTATACGTTGTACATGAACGTAGATGTCTCCGTAGCTCTCGCTTGTTTATTTGCACCCCCTTGCTACTAGTTCTGTCTTTTTAATTTCCTTTCCATTTTCATCTAGCTTGGTTCTGAATTTCCAGACTGCATCGATTCTGGGCTGACCGATATCTTCTTCCACGGTCCAAGTCTTATTTCTGATTATATTATTTTGATCTGTTTTATCAGGTGTGTTATATCCATCTAGGCTGGTGAAGAATTCTATATGACCTTCGTGCTCTTCATTATGGAGTCGCTTTGGAAAGAAGGTTCTATTATTCTTTCTTAACCACGGTCTTCTTTCTTGTTCTGGCTCTGACCTACAATTTCTGGACAGGTGTCCTATTCTTCCATATTTTATGTTTCTGCTTAGAATACGACATTTTCTTTTTTAGAATCAATAACGTTTTTTTAGCTTTAATTCTTTGTCCAAAAGTATTTGCTTTACGAAGTTTAACGTCATATTTTCCCTTGCCAGGGTTTCTATGGCAGTAACTAAGTTATCATAACCTTGAGGTAGTGTTAGTAGTAGGTGGCATACTTTTTCTTGTTCTTCCATAGAGACTCCTGTCTCCTTTAATTTTTTTAATGTTTCGTCAAAATTTAAGAAATGGTCACTTAGTTTTGAATTTTCATCCAACTTCAGTTTAAAAAGTAGAGTTGAAGTACAACTCCCTTTCTCTGGTAGATGCCTTCCAACGTAGTCCACATTTGTTTTGTTGTAATTTTTTCATGTATAAGATCGAGAAAATCATCATTGATGGACCCGATTAATAGTGCCCTTCCTTTGGCATCTTTCTTTTCAAACTCATCTTTATTTTCTTCTAAGTATCACTTCTTAGTAAATCACCAAGTCCTTTAGCTTGGAAGATACTCTCTATTCTATACCTTTACTGTGTATACTTGGTTCCATCAAATGGGTTAAACGGTAAGTTTGTTTTTCTTCCATTGCACGTTTCTTCTTATGATATTTAATTGGATTGTCCTGGGCCCATAACCTGTTAAATGACTAATAACGCTCGGTTATTCTTGTTAACGAATCTTTTATTTAGCTAACGTAAACTGACAATACCAAAACAAAAAAAACATTGACAATATGACAACATGAAATTATATTTATATACAGGGTATTCCAACAATATTCAACTAAAAAACAAATTTCTTCCGCTTGATTGACTGCTGTCGAGTCAAAGCCGACGTTTCACGCAGCGGACTCCGTTCAATGCTGCGGAACACGCGCTGTAGGAAAACGGTCTGATTTAAACCATACAAGAGCAGTATTAGTCGTGTTACGCCTGTGTTGTACACAGTGCGAGATACGCAGGTAGGAAACGTGGCTTAAGCTCAAAGCTCAAGCTTACTGATTATGTGTTCTCTAATCTCTTGCCAAATAGTTTGTTATTTTTTAGTTATCCAATGCCTGTCGAGCAAAAGTTTTGCTTTTTTCAAACATATATTTGATACATACGATTCTTTTGAGATTCCCCATAAACTAATAATATTACGATTGTTTAAGCAATGGGTGAACATTCAAAGTCAAATAACAAAGCAATATTTTTTGTCAACCATTATTTTAATTAGTGACAGATGCGACTTTGCTATTTGTTTCCAAAGGATACTTGTTTAAATCTTGACGATTGCAAATTTTTTAAACCACTTTTTTAAAATTTGCTTATATTTTTAAAATTTGTTCAATCCCATCTAAGAACCACATTTAAAATTGTTTTCTAAAGTTTTTCCTTTTCTTATAATAGGGTTGAGACCTAGTTTCGTTCACCCTGTACAGCCGGCGCAACCTAAATGTCAACGCTCTTTGGTTGTCATGGAATTTTTTTACTGAAATTCATTACTGTAAGTCTAGTTTTGGCCAGTGGTGTTCCAAAGAGAGGGGAGACTATTAAGAACAAAAATATATTACTTTTATTAGTGCCGTTTTGTCGAATCGGTCTTATATACATTAAATGTGCAATAAAAAAATGAAAAAGATATAAAATTATAAAAACAGCCAGTATACACTTATTCTAGCAAAAGTATAATACCCCTATAGAGAGGGACATACCTAATTTAATTTGAACTTTTTATTATGGTCATATGTAATGGGTTAGAAATAAAACAAAAATAACTGGTTAAACACCTATATAAAATTAATTTTAAAATATATGTCTATTGGTAAAAAAATACCCTTTGCTTGACGTCAATGTGCAATAAAAAACCTACTATAGATATTAGAATAAAATATAGAAGTGCATCGTTCCTATTAAATAAAACATGCAACGTTTTCTGAATGTAATACCAAAACAAATCAATTATACACTCCAGTCTGCTATCTTTGTAGATACTTCAAAGAGAATAAACAAGGCGACGTGGTAAACAAAAAACAAGTAACAATTGAAAGCCAGTTGAATAAATCTGGGGATGAAATTAATTCAGTTAAATAGCCTGGAATGTAGATCAAACTTAATTAGCTGCTGATGAAAATCAATTTGACTTTCGCTTATGATTAGGTCATAGGTTACGGATGAAAACCTACGTATATTACAATGATTAATTTCTATACAGAAGGTTTTAGTTGTCCATACAGGTTAAACTATAGTGAAAAAAACAAAGAGAATAGAGGGTCCAGAGGGAAAACCCGATAAGTAAGTAAATTTAATTATGAAGATATTGGCGTTTAAATATTTGGTCTAACTCGGGTTAACCCCAGAACCCATCAAACGCTTCTTCTAGTTGTTATATTGTTCTGTGTCAGTCTGTCTATGTCATCAGTCTGCTGTCA